ACCAAGTTACTACTTGGAACCAGACAGTTTTTGGTAACATCTTCGATAAGAAGAAGCATTTACTAGCTAGGCTAGGAGGTATCCAGAAATCCAATGCCTACCCCTTCAGCCCATACTTCCAGCATCAGGGTCAACTCCAAGAAGACTATTCAGCCATTTTGAGAAGTGAAGAGGAATTCTGGAAAACTAAATCTAGGATAAACTGGCTTATGGAGGGAGATGCCAATACAAAATTCTTTCACACCTCCACTCTTAATAGGCCCTCCAAAATGAGGCAGGGGAGTGGGCAGATGACCATAAGGGAATTGAAGAAGCCATTTTCCAATTCTACTCATCCCTATTCACCACTGATCACCAATCCTCCACCAAGGGTAGCGATACTACCCCTTATGACTCTCATACCCTTTCACGTATGGACTAGAACATTCTTAGTGCTCCCCTGAGGAATAGTGAGATAAAAATTGCTTTATTCTCATTCAAACCTTCCAAAGCCCCTAGGCCTGATGGCCTACACCCAATGTTCTACCAAAAGTACTAGAATGTTCTTGAGGGTAAGGTAACCAGCTTTTGTAAGCAGGTCTTCCACACCCTGGAAATGAACCCTAAGGTTAACACCACCCATCTTTGCCAAATCCCTAAATGTGCAAATACACCTGTGCTGAAGAACGTCAGACCTATTGGCCTATGCAATACAATGTACAAATTGATTACTAAAATCATTGTTAACAGAAATAAGCCTATACTTCCCTCTATGAGAGGCCCTAGCCAAGCAAGCTTCCTATCTAACAGGAGGGCCTGTGACAATGCCATTATTGTGCAAGAATACATTAGCCACTTTAAGAAAATGCAAGGCAAAAATGCCAACATGATCCTAAAGATTGACCTGGAGAAGGCCTTTGATAGGTTAGAATGGTCATTTATCATAGACACATTGCTTTCCTTTGGTTTCCCTAGCAGCAGCACCAAGCTGATTATGTCCTGCATTTCGACCAGTTCTATCTCTATAATTGTCAATGGGAGTAGGAATAAGTACTTTAAGCCTAGTAAGGTCATCATACAAGGAGATCCTATATCTCGCTACATCTTCATAATTTGTATGGAGAGACTTTACAGAAGCATTGATGCAAAAGTGCAGAATGGGAAATGGTTCCCTATAAAAACCAGTCAAACATGGCCGAAAATCTCTCATCTCTTCTTTGCAGATGACCTTACTCTCTTTGTTAGAGAAAACACCAAGAACTGCAATACTATTTTATAAACTCTTCATGAGTTTAGCTGTATGTCGGGCCAAAAGGTAATATAACATCAAATCTAAGGTTGTCTTCTCCACAAACTGCCACCAAGGGGACGTAGATAGAATAGCCAAGACATTAACCATTAAGCCCAGACTCTCTTTTGGTAAGTACCTGGAATTTTCCATTTTCCACAAAAGACCCACCAATAGAGACTACCAGTTTATCATTGATAGCATGCAGACTAGCTTGCAGGTTGGAAAACCCATTTCCTAAATATGGCTGGGAGAAATACACTAGCTAAATCCTCTCTTGGGTGCATCCCTGGCCATGTCATGCAATACGTAAAGATTCCAAATCAGGGGTGCAACCAAATTGACAGAATTCAGAGAAATTTCATCTGGGGTACCACCGCAGCCAAAAGAAAAATATACCTAGTTGGGTGGAAAACTGTGACAAAGCCAAAGGAAAAGAGTGGTTTGGGAGTGCAGACAGCTGAAAATAGAAAAATTGCCACTCGCACTGGCATGGCCTGGAGGATGTACAACAATACAAATTCCATGTGGGCCAGGGTGTTGTTCCACAAGCACGGTACTAGCAGAAACCCTTCTAGACGCATTGCCTTTAGGACTTGGCAAAATGTCAAAAATGGATGGCTTGTATGTAGTAATGCTACTAGGTGGGTAGTACATAAGGGGGATAGAATTAACCTTTATGGTGACAAATGGAACCCTGATATGGAGTCCCTTAGGAGCATTATCAGTGGTCCACTCAACAGAGAGGAGGAGAGTTTGAATGTAAGCACATGCTACAATGAGAGTCACTGGGACATCAGTAATATCTCATTTGACCTCCCTGGGGAGATAATTCTACTACCAATTTTATCTTTGTTAATCCCAACTATGGGAATCTGGATAGGTGGTTTGGAGCCAAACCGATAGTGGCATCTTCTCAACCAAAACTTCCTATACCCTCATTGAAAGTCTGATCCATCATCAGGTCCACAACTCTGGAACAGACTTCAACTAGGCATGGGGCCAAAAAATGCCCAACAAGATAAAATACTTTCTTTGGTTAGTAACCCATGATAGGCTCCCTACAACTCAATACCTCCACTAAAGGGGTATGAATCTAAACCCCATGTGCTTCTTCTGTAACAAGGAGAAAGAAACCATTGAACACCTGCTCTTCAAATATGACAATGCTAACCAATGCTGGCAGAAGTTAGCTGAGCAAAGCCATTCCAACCTCAGTATCTCAAACCTTGTAATTAGCCAAGCAAACTAGGTGCACACTCTTAACAAAGTAAGCACCAACCCTTCAATGACTTTCTCAAATGGGGACACTTAATCCCCTTCTGCCTTTGGCAAATTTGGATAACCAGGAACATCAACAACTTCAACCATAGGAAGGATCTTGTTCCCTTTAGAGTGGTCATTAACAACGGTGCAGAATTCATGCAGATAGCAATAGGAGGAAAAAACCCAGACACAGTACTATTATCTCTATTAAATGCCATCCCTCAAGAAAGGGTTGTTACAAGCTAAACACTGACGGTGCTAACAATCAAAAAGATAAAATGGGGGGAATAGGAGAGGTAATTAGAAACAGCAATGGGGATTGGGTAACATGAAACATGAGAAAAATTAAGTGCACAAATACCCTCCATTATGAGCTAACAGCTTTCTTGCAGGGCTTAAAAATGGCAATATCAAACAATCTAGTGCCCTTTGAGGCCACTATGGACTCGACAGAGGTAATATAATGCATAAACAATGGTCATCTGATATATGATCCCATGATTTATGAATGCATGTCTCTGCTAGCAGCACTGGACCATTCACCAGTAAATCACACGTTCAGAGAGACAAATAGAGTGGCAGAGAAGTTGGCAACAGAAGCAGGGAAGCAGTTTGGAGTAGGAATCAACTTTTTAGTAGTTCCTCTGGAGTTTGTCAATGAAGTACTATGAGTAGACACCCTATTAACTATTTTTGAAAGAAACTTTAAAAGTTGTAATATTGTAAATATAGCATTGGACTACTCAATGTTTGATACGATGGGCTTAACTACTACAGCCCAATGTAAGAACAATCTTAACTTAATATTATATTATAGTATCCTCTTGACCAAAAAAAGCTCAAAAGAGTGCATGTCAAGGGCCAGAAATGCAGATCCATTATATTGAAATCCAATATTTACATACATGCTAGCTTTCATATTTTATCTAAATGAAAATACATCTTGGATTTTCCTTTACTTTAGTATGGGTCTTCGCAATAGCTGCAATTTACCGTAAAAATTTCATGGGTGGTCATTCAGCTTTGTATTCATTACCCAAAAGTTATTTTTCTTTTTTGTTACGTAAAAGTCATTCAACTTTGTGTTCATTACCCAAAAGTCACTTTTTTTTTGTTACACAAAATTTACTTTATTATGCTCTAGTTATCATAATAGTCACTTTGATCATATTTTATAAAACTTTCACCTGAAAAATTTGTTATGCACTTGGCAATATAAATCCTCCCATTTATGTAAACATTCTATATTATATAGAAGTACTATATAATATATTTTTACCGAAGTATTTTACTTATAATTAAATAACTTTATATTATTTTATTTATTATTTTTATGATATATCCGTACTTTAATTTTGCCTTGGCACTCAATTGATTTAATAATATTCAAACATGAACATATTTAAAATATAAAAACGAAAAAAATATTTATTTTTTAATATTTATTTGAAGTAATAAGAACAAATTTGTTTAACAACTGATAATAGTTTTTTATAGTTAGTAAAATTTTTAAATAAATTCAAAGATATTTGCGTTTAACATTAAGTTCTTAAAGCTTTAGCTGTTAATATTATTTATTTGAAAGTGTTAATCTGATGTGTCAGTATTATAAATGCGGGTACTTTTTATTTGATTAACATAAATTGGCTGATAAATTTCTGAGCTTTAATTTTATATTTTTCATTAAAAATATTTTATTACGCATGATTACGCATCATTAAATGTACGAATATATTATAAACATAATAAATAAAATAATATTAAGTTATTTTAATTATAAGTAGAGTACCTAGGTAAAAATATATTATATAGGAGTATATAATATAGAAGGTATTACATAAACGAGGGAATTTATAATGTCAAGGGCAGAATAGACTTTTCATGTGAAAGCTATATAAAATCTTGTCAAAGTAACTATTGTGATAACTAGAGCATAGTAAAATGATTTTTGTGTAACAAAAAAAAGTGTCTTTTGGATAATGAACACAAAATTGAATGACTTTTCCGTAATAAAGAAAAAATAACTTTTGAGTAATGAATGACCACCCATGAAATTTACTCATTTTCACACTTATGCGGGACATCCTCCACAAAATTGATTTTTTGTTGTCTCCACAAAACTGATTAAATCAGAATGTTGTATGTTTGACTTAAATTATTACTATAATTTAGAAATGCAAACAACATTTTAAATTATTTTGCTGGATTACCAAAGTTGGAGATTTGAACTGTTATTATAACTTCAAAGAAAGTTTTAATTTTTTTTGGAGGAATGTCAATCACTTTCTTATCAAAGTTGGAGATTACTTCCACAAAATCTATCTCCTTAATTATGGTCAAAATTTTGTTATATCTACTTAATCTAACATTTAAGTTTGGGATGAGGACAATCAAGTGTATCCCTGTGCCAAATATAGCCGCCTACTGACTACAGGTCAAGGCACGGACTGCTACATATATAAGACCGCGTTCTTTGCTTACATATCAATCAAATCCACAGCACAGACAAATTTCATTTTCCAGAAGAAGAAAAAATGGGTACAGTTCCTACACCACATTTTGTTATCTTTCCTTTTATGTCTCATGGCCACACCATTCCTCTTCTCCACCTCGCCACCCTTTTGCGCCACCGTTTCGTCGCCGTCACCGTTTTCACCACCCCTGCAAACGCCCCCTCCATTCGTGATTTTCTACAAGATGAAACCATCTCCGTTATTGAGCTCCCTTTTCCTAAAGACGTAGATGGTATTCCTCCTGGTGTTGAAAATACTGAGAAGCTTCCGTCCATGTCTTCTTTCTATCAATTTGCGAGAGCTACTAAGCTGATGCAGCCGCTCTTTGAGCAAGCTTTACTGGGTTTACAGCCAGCAACATGTATAATATCTGATGCATTTCTTGGATGGACTCAACAATCTGCTGAAAATTTTGGTATCCTGAGGTACTTTTTCTTTGGTATGAGTATTTTCGCCACGACCCTATACCAAGTTCTTGGCATAGAACGTCCTCATGCCGAAGCTATTCCAAACGTGACTTTTACATTTTCAAGCTTTCCCTGGTTGAAGCTCACCAGAAATGATTTTGAGCCTCCTTTTGGAGATCTTGAGCCCAAAGGTCCAGCCGTGGACTTTATGTTAGAGCAAGGTACTTTTGTGATCATCTCATAAAGTTTAAAATCACATTTATGTTTATTTAATTATGTCTCGATATGCCTCAACCCTCCAAGTGCGGATCGGAGTCTTTTTCATGGGCCAAGCATGTGATAATATATTTTTTTTGTGTCGCGGTGAAATTTGAATGCAGGATTAACTTAACCGCGATGCTTCCAATAGCGGAACTATATGTATGGTGAAGGGGGCTCAAATGAATGATCCCCTTCGCCGGATAATTGCGATGCATATTAAAAAAAAATATGTATATAATTAACTTCTTGAATCCCTTTTATATATATATATATAAAAAAAAAAAAAAAAAAAAAAAAAAAAGCTTTTAATGTAATGTTTTTAAAATTCCCTTAGAATTTACCGCCTCGGGTTATTCCACATTGAGATTATGTCCTTCTCAGTTACAGAGTATAAACTTTGAGTACCTAAATAAATTTATGTGTCAACAGCTGTTTCCCTAGCAAAGAGCCGTGGCATGATAACCAACAGCTTTTACGAACTGGAACCAAGATTTGCAGACTATTGGAACCAACACCTCGGACCAAAGTCCTGGTGTGTTGGGCCTCTTTGCCTAGCCAAGCAGCCCATGACACCAAACATAACACACCCCGACAACAAACATGAAACATGGATGCAATGGCTCAACAGTAAGTTAGCCGACAGACAACCTGTTCTGTACGTCGCATTTGGTACTCAGGCAGAAATTTCCGCCGAGCAAATACAAGAAATTGCTAGAGGACTAGAATTATCAAACACGATTTTCTTATGGGTGACAAGACCAAAAGTTTTGGAGAATTTAAAAGGGTTTGAAGAGAGGGTAAAAGATAGAGCATTGATAGTGAAAGAATGGGTAGATCAGAGTGAGGTGTTAAGACACAAAAGCATCAAAGGATTTTTGAGTCACTGTGGATGGAATTCTGTTTTAGAAAGTATATGTGCCAAAGTGCCGATTTTGGCACTACCCCTTATGGCTGAGCAGCATTTAAATGCAAAATTTGTGGTTGAGGAAATTGGTGTCGGACTACGGATTATGCCAAAGAATGGATCAACGAGGGGTTTTGTGGAAGCGGAAGAGGTTGAAAAAATGGTGAGAGAGTTAATGGAAGGTGAAAAGGGAGAAGGGGTGAGGAAGAAAGTGAAGGAAATGGGAGAAAATGCATGGGAAGCTATGAAAGAAGGTGGTTCATCTTGGTCAACATTAAGCCTCCTTATTGATGATGCTTGCGGCGGAAAATAAGTTTTAATTGATGTTTAAAAGCCAGCTTTGGGCATATTTGTGGTCAATAATAAGCTGTTTGCTTTAATCATGCTATCAAATAAGGAGTTTGTAGCTTATTGATGTTGTATGCTGTGGTTAGCTTATTGTTAATGCTACAACATATAGGTGGGCTTGCAGCTAAGAGTCATTTTGGGCACCTCTTGTGTAAATCTTTCTCCTACTATATATGAAAATCTCGATATAAGGGTTCCATCCTTCTATTTCTTTTCCGGCTCCTTTCAATGTTTGGTACTCGCCGTGCGATTAGATTAAATTCGAATTCGCGCCAAAAAGTTTCACATTGATGGTTCAGTAATTCCCAATAATTGCGACTCTCTCTCTCTATATATATCCGGAGTTCGAACCCAAAACTCTAAATTAAAAATGAAATAGTAATTATCACTTCACTACAACAACCTTTGTTGTTCAACATTCTCCTATTGGTGGTATGGAAGGTCGATATCTTAAGTAGTCTATTTTGCTTCTGTTTTCTTTTACTTTTTAAATAATTTATTTTTGGTTTCTGTATTAAGTCAAGAGCAGACTTTTTTGAAAGTTTTAAGGGAGTCATGAATGCTGCCACTTGATCATTCACAAGCGCCATAGGCGATAAAAATGGCCACAAACATGAAGTTGACGAACTGCAAGTTGCTTTCCCATAATTAATGGCGTTTCCTAAAGAGATATTTTTGGATACAACTAATAAGGTACTCCCTCCGGTTCACAATTAGTGATCAGTTTCCTTTTAGTACGCCCATTAAGAAAATGCTAAATTTTATACAAAAATACCTAGTATGACTAAATTACCCTTATTAAATATTGGTCACATAGTTATAGTGAGGAGTGAGAAAACTTTTCAGAGATATGCACATAAGGGTAAAAGAGTAAAAACAAATTGAATTTTTTCTTGATTACATAACTACATAACTGGACACTTATTTTGAACCAAAATGAAAAAGCAAACTGGTCAAGTACTATATTAACCGCGTCACTCTCTCAATTAATGCAGTTTGTCATTCTCGCAAGATCTAATTGACTAAACAAATTCTGGAAAAAACATGTCCCCATGTATGTGCATAACAATAGTAGTAGTACTAGGAGACACAGTTACTTTACCACGTTCAATATCTGCAAATTTATGTTAGGCACCACTGAGAATGACAAGACCGTGTGGAGCCTTCTGAAGAGTGAAGTCTTTCTAGGCCACATAGATCCATTCATACTTCGGACAAAATATTTTCTGCATGGAACGATGTATTGTAAGTCTGTCTGAATCATTGGACCAGTATAATTTAATTAAATCCGGCATTGTATCACACGCTGGGCAACGTTCTCATATTGTACTATACCATGCAGGAAAGAGAACCTAAAGTATCGAGTACGGACATGAATGAGGTGCTAAGATCCATCAGGTGATCATGAAATTCAGTGTCCCCTCGAGTAAGAACACTGTTGTCTGTATTTATTTATCTTTAAATGTAGACCCGATAACGTCTGATTGTGTTAGATCTAAAATTATTTCATTTGATCTGTAATTTCTCCTAAAATGGTTTCTTTACACATGCTTCTGTCCACTCGAACATAATTGAAGAGAAGCTAAAAACCAATTAGAATCCCACAATAGTCCAGAGAGATTAGTAACATTATTGAGTTAAAAAAACTAATAAGGACGGAGCCTGGGAGGGGAAGTATATATAGGTGAGAGGAGTCGAGTTTGTGTCTGCTCACGGAAAGACCCTAGCTAATTCTCTGTCTAGTTAGATGAAACAATTGTCCAGAACACAGTAAAAATCAGGATATAAGTTCGATAATATGATAATGCAATGGTGGTTATTAAACAGGAGCTAAGTATTACATGAATGAAGTGAAATTACAAATACAGATTGTAGTCGATCGCTGAAATGATTTTCCTACATTTGGACTCTAGTAGAGAGTACGATTTTTGATTAGTAAGTAAAATAAAATTCAAACTTTAGCCTTGAAACGAATCATCGACATTGTAGTTAACGCGTACGGAAGGAGATCTGAGTATTCTATGCAGTGTGTTAAGAATGCACACATTAATAGTGCCGCCTTCCAGCTATCATTGACCCATACGGAGCACTATGTTATGTTGCTAATATGTCGTATTAGAAATACAGTATCATAAAATATTGAACGTGCAGTTATTCAATTCGGTATCTAATACGGCCTCCAAACACAACCGAACGACGGGGCAAAGCTAGAATCAAGTGCTAACAAGTGTATCATATATGCTTCTAAGTTGTAATCTGCCATCGATAGACATAGTGAATACCACAAACCATTAAATTGCGAGCGGAATCTCCCAAGCAGCCAAGCAATAATACCTTCCTCGAAACATAAATCGAAACGACAGGGACTAAGCTAAAACCTATTGCCAACACAGTACAGTCCTTTAATCTGCTCTACATACCTTAACATGTCCTAATTCCTACCTATCGCCCATAAGATTAGCCCCCTTCGTTTTCATGCAAACGAAAGGAATGCAAGGAAAATGTTCTCACTTCCCTGCTAGTTTCCTTCTTGGAACTCCCTAGTTTTACTCCCTTTCACACTCAAAACACACGCCCTAATTCCACTCCTTTTCATCCACTACAAAATACAGCATCAGGATGATGTTTTGCATATAAACAGTCATTCCCAGCAGAAGATCAAAGCAAATGCCTTGCACAACATAAACCATCTGAATGGAAGTAGTTGAGGGAACTCCAACTATGGAAAAGGAATTAACCTACCTTAAAAAAAATTAAGAAAAAGGAATTAACCTACTTGCGACAGGTAGACTATGTCCAGTATACACATTTTTCTAGCTCTCTCCCATCAAACCCATATCCTCTCCAAAGGACATATACAAGAAATGCATTCCCCAATACAGGAAAATCAATCAAATTTGAAAGATAAACTAAATACTACACTCGCTTCTGCTCAAGCTAAGCTCACAGGAACTGGTTTTAAGTTTGCACATCGCAAGTTTCATAATGTGAACAAAAAGGTGATATTAAGGTTTCATGTTGCCTACGGGAACACGGACACAGGTGGTGCATGTTCAGAAAAATAAAGAGTACAAGCATATGGAAACACCTGAATCCAGTACACTGTCTAATTTTGAAAAACAGAAACAATCAGTGCAAGTGTAGTCATTTCTTCTCAGTGTTGCTCTCCAATTCCCTTCTTAGCTGCAGAGAGAAGTCATCGTTGACATCATCATCATCCCAATCATCTTCCCATTGCTGTGTTATTTCTTTGCCTTCCTCTTTGTCCTCCCAATCTGAACATTTTGTATTTACATGAAGGTCATGACCAGATATTACAAATAAAACTCAGCAAGAGGATGAACAACAAAGTGGTCCTAGAATACCTGACTAATACATTAAAGGGAAAAGGAGAATATAGGACCCTTCGTCTTTCAATGGAACAAAACAAAAGGATAAAGCTACTCCAGAATTGAGAAGCCGATACAAAAAGTTCAAATACCAAGGTTATCAGGGCTCAAGTGTGAGCATTAAATACTTTCCAACATATATGACATGCTATGATGATTCACAAGGCATCTAAGAGCTTATTCAACATGGAAGGTATCTGGGTAACAAGGTTAATTACTTAACTTAAGCTACTCGAATCTCAAATAGTGACATGCAACAAGATTGAAGCATGCTAAACTTGGTGAGAAACATTATAGATAAAAGGGAAAGGACAAGATCAGAAGTTGTAACTGGTTTAGCTGCCAGCAGATGCTGCTCCATGCAGTGGTACACAAAAGTTCCATTGCAACCACTTTTGAATTTGTCAAGAGAACTAAAAAATGGTAAAGCTTCCTCAAAGATAGGTCATTCTGGAAAAAGTTGCCAAAGTTTAAGTGCAAGGCTTTGAGGAAGAGCAAAATTACTTGATTTATATGAAAATAAGTTTCCCTTCCAGCTCCATTACCTCATTTGATTTTAAATTAGCTTTTCTTTGTAGCAAGCACAAGAATTCATCAATATATGCAAAAGAATGGCAGCAGTTGTGTTCTTAAGGAAGACAATGGTTCTTATAGAATACCGTTGGGCAATAAAAGTTTATTTGCCTGCAGCAGTAGAAAAAAAGCTAATTTCCATGAGGATTCAGTTCTTATGGAGATGGAAATGCTACAAAAAGGAAAATGCATTTGGTCAAATTTCATGTGGTGCTGAATGATTAAAAAGGAGGAAGTCTCGGTATAAGGAAGTTGAAAACAAAAGCCTACTCTTCAAGTGGCTATGGAGATACATGCTGGAAGGTAATGAAGTTTGGAAGAGCTTGATCAATTCTACTTATGGTTGGAAGAAAGGGTGGAGACCTCCCTCTTTACACTTAAATGCAAGAGGGGGTGTTTGGAAATACATAAGTAGACTATGGGGGAGCTTTTAGAATATACGAAGCTGGAACTTGGAAGCTGGGAATGGTCAGAAAATTAAATTTTGGACAGATCTATGGATAGGGGATGAAAGCCTGACAATGAAGTTCCCCAATTTGTTCAACTATTCTGTCAATAAGGCTGGATCCATTGTTGATTTCTACTCAGGTACAGGATGGCAAATAGTTTTTACAAGAAATTTGGATGACTGGGAACTTGGGGATTTCTGTCACCTGCTCCAACAAATTGAATCTGTTTCCATTGATCAGAGCAAGGTGGATACTATGTCGTGGAGTATCAGCGAGGATAAAACTTTTTCAGTGAAAAGTTGTTATAGCATGATTGTAAAGAAGTCAAATCACAGAGATGCTAATTGGCCTTGGAAGATGATTTGGAAAACCAAAGCTCCAGTTATGTTAGCATGTTTTAAATGGATAGCTATTTGGGAGGCTTGTTTGACTCGGGATAACTTGCAGAAAAGGAGCTCCGGGTTGTGCAATAGATGTTACTTGTGTGAAGAGGAATAGGAATCAGTAAATCACCTTCTCCTCCATTGCAGAGTATCTAGGCAATGCTGGGATCTATTTTTCAGCATTTGTGGCATTTCTTGGGTGCCCTTAACAGTAAAGGGTCTTATAGAAGCTTGGCAATCTCAAAGAGTATCTAGAAGACTGAAACAGATATGGAGAACCCATTCCATTGTGCGTTCTGTGGACCTTATGGCTGGAAAGGAACAAGGCTTGCTTTGAAGGGCACATGAATCACATTATTAGAATTAAGTATACATGTCTTCATAATCTGTATCTTTGGTGTAATTGTAGTAATTTAGTAAATCAGAATCAGTATATTGACTTTCTGGAGATATTAGGAGGGAGAGGATAGTATGCGATTGTTGTTATCTGGGCTGCCTGTTGTACTATTGTGTACCATCTTGGTACATTTTCAATAAATTTTTACCTTATAAAAAAAGGTCTATTTGGTAAATGTATATGAATACCAGCTGTAAGCTTTCCTGCTTGCTAGTTAGGTGAGTAAATAAGTAGTGGAGGCATCTACACAGGTAGGATAAGCCGTAACAGAGTAAAGTGTCACTGTTTGGTTGTTTGGTCTTGTATGCAGCTCTAAATGAGCCACAAGAAAATTTGATATATCAGCAGTCTATATAAAACTTAGTTGTGTACTATTCATGTACTTGGTAAACTCAAGGCCAAATACATGGATAGCCCCTCAAACTTGGCATGGAGTGTCAGTTAGACACCTCAACTTTGCTAGTGAGTAGATAGGCACCTCTAGGGGTGTGCATTCGATTTATCGATTCGATTTTGACCCTTATCGATAATTACTTATCGATTATCGATTTGTACATATGCTTATCGTTATCGTTTCAATAAGGTTTCGATTTTTTCGATTTCGATTTATCGATTTTTGGGGCTTATCGATTCGGTTATCCATTACACCAATAAGAAAATTTGCGGGATTCCACGGAAAGTATATCGCTATAAACACGCCAAAATAATATGGACAAAAAGAAGCTAAAATAAGACGAACACCATTTATAACATAAAAATTGTGTCAACAAGCACATGCAACGAAACTAAAGTAAGGGATCAAATGTATGCCACCAACACTCCAACGGTATTAAAAAAAAAACAAAACAAAACAAAACAAAATACATCATCGTGGCTAATTTTGTTTTCCATTAATTTGAACTTCATTCCCTTGAAATTTAAATATGATCATTCCTTAAATGTGGTAGAGGAAATAATAGGGTTATGGACTTAGGGTAAAGGAAAGGGTATTATAGAATTTAAAAAAAAAATATCTTTTTAGTATATCTTATCGGTTTATCGATAAACCGATAACTGAAGAGGACAAAATCGAAATCGAAATTGATAACTCGATAAAGAAAATTTCGAAATCGAAATCGAAATCGATAAACCGATAACAAATAATCGATTCGATTTATCGATAAACCGATTCGAATGCACACCCCTAGGCACCTCAACTTGACAGGAATGTATCTCGTGGTAGGTGTCCGCAAGCGGGTAACACAAGCACAAGTCGATGTGTCAAAAAAGCCCATTAAAATGACACACGTCAAAAAGCAAAAGAAAGAAAGAAAGACAAGTTGAAAACTAAGGAAGTAGTTATCTTATTGCTCATGCACACCATCTCTTCCCATCACCATTCTTAAACCTGAAACCAAGTCTTCTTCACCTACACATTTTAGAACCCTTCTAGACCTTATTCTTCCTCAAACTAGATCTTGAGCCTCATGTTCTACCATTTTTCCGCTCTCTCTATTTACAGTGACAAGCATAGATTGAAAGGAGGAGAATTGAAAATATGAATGATTAGGTCGAAGATATCACTCAGTATCAGACGCTATAAACACGTGAAAAATTCAGTACTCCAAAATCAATTTGTCAACTCCAATTTCAGATCTGGTTGCAACAAATTGATCCAAAAATAAAAACTTTATGTCAATAGTCATAGCCTCTAATACAGAATGAATAAAACAGAATTTGGGAGCAAAATATCCCGAATATGATATTAAGCAGATTCTGAGGAAATATTATGGCGAAGGAAGATAGATTTCATTTGAGATTTTTTATGGTGAAAGAAATGGGTCTCAATTTTGTGACAATGGTTTTGGAATTGTCTGAGGCGTGAAAGAGATGATTAGTCCAATTTGGGTTAGGATTAGTCGCTTGGACAAAGTGTGCATCTATCAAAAGAAGAGAGAAAAGTGCTAATTCAGTTTGAAAAAGAGAACAATCTTCAAAGCTAGATGGTCAGTTAGTACTGCTACAAGGTACTATTACTGTTCGTTAGTGGTGGAAGCTAGGAGTTGGGGAATGGGGATGAGGGTGGTGTTGGGTGTTGAATTGGTGTTAACATAATGTAAGAAGTATATTTACGTACTCATTTGTAAATGTGTAACACGCGATATGCCATGTCAGTGTGCTGTATTCACAAGACGAATTACTGCCAACTAGAGGTGTATACATGGTCACAAGCAAAGTTGAAATGTCCAAGTTTGTGGGGCTATCTATGTTTTGGCCTAAAATCAACCAGAGCACATAGAAAAATACGCACACTTCACCCAATCCTTCCTGCTCAGAAGGAAACATTTTAAGTGTTCAATTTATAAACATGATATAATTCACTAGGGCTTGTGGGATTATACTGGGCTGTTGTTGTTGTTGTTGATATAATTCACTAGGGCTGGAGAGATTTTGGATTTCATCTGGATTGAATATCTTATCCATATTTTTTTTTCTTCATAAAAAGTATCCTATCAATATTGTTAAAAGAAAGCACTAAATAACGAATGTTAAAACAAATTTGGCTTGATTGGAGACGGTATTTGATGGTTTAAACATAAAGTATCACTTTTTTATCAACAAAGTACACTACACATTTTTGTGGTATTGCAATTGAAAATTAACCACATGAAGCTCAAAAGCAACAGCGACAATGTAACCTATGGAGCAGATAGCAAGGGATATTCTACCTTATCAACAATTCAAATCACAAGTGCAAGTAAATAGGAAATCAATGACCAGGAGCATCAGCTTTTTTAATCAGGTAAAAGTAAGAGCGTCATATATTACAAAATCAGATCATAAGTACAATTTAATTTAAATAGTAAACGAGGAACTTCCTTTATTTAATTTTATTTTTCTCTCTTAGCTAGAATCTTAGGAAAACAGAATAATGACGCAAAACATCATTCGGAAAACACGACACTCAAATATAGAGATAAAGAAAATAGTAGAAGAACATGTGATGCTTTAACTCACCTTGATCAATTTCAAACTCTTCAAATTCGTCATCGTCTTCGAATAGATCCATCTTCACGTCTTCAGCCGCTGGCTTTGGTTGTTCAGTCGCCATTACCAGTTCCTAAAAAACAAAGACGATAAACTATAAACGAAAATATGGAAGGTAAAACCCTAGCTTTGTTCAATGAAGAACAGGAGTGCATAGACAAATTCTAACTGGAAACTGAAAATTAAAGGGACAAGAAATCAAAGTTACAGAGATATGGAGAATTTGGGGAATTATACTTTTGCTTGTTCCGTATTAGAATCGAGATTTTTCTGTAGTGGAAGGAAACTTGGGAGCTTTATAAAAGCATCTGCGAGGTTTTCCGTGGGACTGGAGGCGAAACCTTTAACGACGTCGTTATACATATTTTCACTTTGTTCCTCCTATTTTTGTTCATCTGCATTTTGCCCCCTCTTCACAACAAACTTTTGTTTTAATTTTATTTTTGCAATTCATTTCATTTAGGGAAAAATTATTAGTGACATCGTCGATATAAACATTGGCCATTGAGAACCAAAATTTTGATTTCGCGAGTATATTGATCTAATTATTCAATCCAAATATGAAAATAGTTGAAATAATATTTTAAAATCAATTTCGTCCAAAGACAAGTTTGGATGTTTTTGTGTTTTTTCCTGTATTTTCCCATTTTAATATTTTGCATAAACATTTTGGTCATTGTAGCTGTGGCCAGGTTACACTTGAACCATCCACATACTTTGGAGGTAAGATGTTAAGCTCTCGTTTGGCCATAGATTTTGGATATTATTTTAGAAATAAAAAATAAATATATTGTATGATCAATTTTTTTAAGTTCTCACGAGTTTTTAAGTGAAATATTTCTTCTACTCACAAAAACTTCAACCTTTTTTTTCAAATAAAATGTATGTCCAAATACAACTCTAGCTTCCAAAATTATTTTTTAACACAACTTCAAAAATTCTATTTTCAAATTTGAACCAAATGTAAGTCCAAACGTTAGCTATAGATAAACTATAAAGACCTAACAACATATGGAATAAAGTTGTCTCGAGGCACTCAAAAACTCTCATAAAGAATGCAAAGATATACTACTAATAATGATTTTGGTACTGCCACTTCTGTTTTTCATAAACAAGTCACTCAGTGAAAAAATAATATTTTTGGGGATATTTTTAGAAGAAAAAAAAAGATTATTAGCAAGACTTGAGTGTATACAAAACTCCATTAACTACCCTAACAGCCTTGTCCTCCTTAGCTAGCGTTTGGCCATAGATCCCAAATTTATTTTGAAAAATCTGATTTGGGTGAAGTTTGGTTTGAAGATGAAAATGTGTTTGGACATACAATTTCAAAATATATTTTTCAACTTTATTTTGGGAAAACATGTATATAATTTCCAAGTTTTGAAAATTTGGCCCAAATTCAGCTTATTAGCTGAATTTGAGATTTCAGATATGTGATTTGAGTTTTGGCCAAAATGTGGGTCAAATTTATGGCCAAACATGGGATTTAAAAATAAATTTCAAATTAAATTTGGAAAAATGTATGGCCAAACAGGGCCTTAATCTTGAGGAAACTCTTTGTCAAGATTTCACAATATACTTAAAATAGAGGAAAATTATTGGAAACTTAGGTCAAGAATTATGTGGTTAAATGAGGGAGACGCTAATACGAACTACTTCCATATAGCTGCTATGAATAAAAGGAGGAGGAATAAAGTCATTTGTTACAAAGATGATGACGGGCAGTGGATCCAAGATCACAGTTCTATCTTACAACTTACTGTCTCACACTTCTAAAAAATGTTCTCAAATTCTTACGAAAACTCCAACTGGAATCCTATAGAAAATGACCCACAAAGTCTCTCTACAATAGACCTTTCTTCCCTTGACAAACCACTCATTGTCAATAAAATTAGTCAAGCCTTGTTCTCCTTCAAACCGTTTAAGGCTCTTGGCCCGCGATTTTCACCCCTTTTTCTACCAAAAATATTGATTTTTCTACCAAAAATATTGGAATATCATTGCTCCTTCTATTATAAATTTTGCCAAGATACTTTCAAAAATCAATGCATATTTATTGATACTAACAATACTTACCTTTGCCTAATCCCAAAGATACCCAATACCAGTAATCTTAATAATTTTAGGCCTATTAGTTTATGTAATACTTCGTATAAAATCATTACAAAAATTATTGCAAATAGAATTAAGCATCCTACCTTCCCTTATCAACCCAGTCCAATCGAGCTTCATCAAAGGAAGAAGACCTAGTGACAATGCTTTAATAATTCAAGAATTGCTTCTTTATTTCAAAAAATTAAAGGGGAAAAAAACTTTCATGTTATTAAAAATTGATCGAGAAATGGCCTTCGATCGCCTTGAATGGTCTTTTATTTATCGTATGCTAAACTTCTTACCTCTTATATCTAAGTTTATCATGCAATGTGTAGTATCGAGTAGTATTGCAGTGCTCGTTAATGGAACCGCTACTCCCTACTTTAGCCCTAGTAGGGGAATACAACAAGGTGATCCTATGTCCCTGTATATTTACATCCTATGCATGGAAATGTTCTCTCGTCTGATCTCGTACCAAGTAGATACCTCAATTGGGATCCAATAATTATTAGCAATAAAGGACCCAATCTATCACACCTCTTCTTTGCAGATGACTTAACTTTAATGTCTAAAGTTAATATGAAGTCTTGTATCACCATCAAAAACACTTTAGATTTCTTTTTTACACACTCTGGCCAAAAAGTCAATTTTGATAAATCAAAGATTTATTTCTCTCCCAATTGTCCGGATGATATTATTAGTGCAATTGTTAACAATATGGGGATTAAAGTCACCAAAGACTTTGGTAAGTACTTAGGATTTCCAATATTAGAAAATAGTTCTACTTACTCTGATTACTATTTTATCATTGAGTCAATGAGAACAAAATTAATAAACTGGAAATTCAATTTCTTAACATAGCAGGAAGATCTACCTTGGCTCAGTCGGTCTTCAACTCTTTACCTAGCTACTACATATAATATACTTATCTTCCTAAGAGAATCCTTAACCAAATTAATAAAATCTAGTGTGACTTCATTTGGGGAACGACTAATGACAAGAAAAGATTACACCTCATTAGCTGGAACATAATTACCAAACCAAAAGGCAAAGGAGGCATAGGACTACACAAAGCTCATTCAAAAGACATTGCTTCCCTCACAAACCTAACTTGGAGATTAATTAATAATAATTCATCTCCTTGGGCAGAACTTATAGCCACAAAGTACTCAACCCCCAAAATCCTCCAATGCCAAACTATATTCATCTAGCGAAGTGTTTTGAAAGAATGGAGTATTTGCAACAAAGGTATTTTATGGCACCAATCATCCGAACTAAATATTTGGGAATCTCACATGGATTCCTAAAACTCCCCCTCTTAGACAATGTATACAAGGACCCCTCTCCCCTTGCCACCTTAAAATAACTGTCATGACCCAAATTCACTACGGGTCGTGATGGCGCCGGACTCCTTCGTCAGGCAAGCCAACTAAATTATCGATTAAATTCTCTTTTAATACTTTCGAAAATTTCGGAATTTTCCTTACATTTTTCATAAATAAACAGAAATCGCTATTTCAATTCAAGTCAAGTAATAAATCATTAGTACACCTCCTTCGAAAACCACCCCAGAACCCGGTGTCACATGTGCATGAGCATCTACTGATAAGGACACAAAATACGATACAACATCCGTCTGGAATACAATGGATAGAAAGAAGATACAATTCAATAGAAGGGACTTTACAAGTTGCGGGCCGCCTCGCATACTGCAACTCACCTAGTCCCCGAATCATCCGTGCTGCTATGCCCAGTAGGCCGCTAAAGTAACATATACCCGTGCAACAAAAATGCACAGAAGTGTAGTATGAGTACGTAATCAACGTGTACTCAGTGAGTATCCTGCCTAACCTCGAAGGGGTAGAGACGAGATGGTCAACCTGGACACTCACTAGCGGTCCAATAATAATACACTAAAGGTATGAGGAAATCATGGATTCATATAGCATGTTCTAATTCACAAAGCTGTAAAACAGGTAAACGCCTTTTAACAATTAACAAAGATTTTCAAGATTTTACTTCTCTTCATTTAAGTCAGTTCATCCCAAACCATGAAAGGCAATATCATCATTGAAATGTGCACTTGCTGAGGGTCGACGGCGCGCCTATAGATGCATCTATTTCCCCTGCTCGCAAATTAATCATGCGACGCGGTCAACATAAAATAAACACATACCCTGCTCGCGAATCATACATGCGACGCAGGTACACATAGAGGTACATGCTCAATAAATCAAGTAAGAACTTATCAGGGAGTGTTTATCATAATATATCCAACTCTCTTTTAACAAATTTTAAGAAGTAAGGTTAAATCCCTTTAGAAATTCATTTACAAATTTCATGTGATATAAACAATTTAAGCTAGCAAAGGGTTTGCAAATAATCCAAGTATTCATATTTTTGGGTCCTAGCTACCCGGACAATAGCATAATAGTAGCTACGCACGGACTCTCGTCACCTCGTGCGTACATAGCCCCCACAAATAGGAGCACATAACCAATTAATTCACCTATGGGGACGTTTCCCCCTCACAAGGTTAGAAAGGAGACTCACCTCGCTCCGAAGACTCATAACTGGCATTCTACATTCCTCCAAAGACTTGCACCAACGCACAATGCTCCAAAACTAGCCAATGATTGTACAAATCCATTAATATATGCTCAAATATTCATAACAAACTAATTTATAGCAATTCCTAATTTCGATTAAAAAGTTGACCAAAACGTCCTCGGGCCCACGTGCCCGGAATCCAAAATTTTTCGAAGATAAAGTTTACCCATGGCTTCACTAGCTCAATTATATAATTTACTCCTAATTCCATGCTCAAATTCGTAGCTAAATTCAAGAATATAATTTTCTAGGTTTCCACCAAAAACCTCCATTTTCTACAATTTCCCAAGCCTAAATCCATACATAATTGATGTATTCAACTCAAAAATAGGTGGGGATAACTTACCTTAACATAGATGACGAAAATCCCCTCTTTGAAGCTCCCCAAAATCGCCCAAGCCTTGAAAAATAAGAGAAATGAACTCCAAAACAAGCCTTCTGCCCAGCATTTTTCGCATCTGCGGACCCTGGTCCGCTTCTGCGGTTCCGCAGGTGCGGTCACCAGGCCGCTTCTGCGGTCCTCCCTGGCCTCCCCAGCTTCCGCTTTTGCGACCCCCTCTCCGCAGATGCGGTCCCGCTTCTGCGGAACCGTGACCGCATCTGCGGTCCTCAAGCCTTTGACCAAGATCCGCTTCTGCGGCTCCCTTTCCGCTTCTGCGGGACCGCTTCTG